CTTGGAGGAGGGAACAAACACTTGCACCTGATAGATGGTGATTCCTGAAACTGCTCTATTACAGTTGGCTCTGACTACACCCTAAATAAAGCCAAGCTTTTATTGCTGAGTTCTTGTCTGTGTGGTGGGTGGGCTGTGAGGACTACAGATTGAAAGGGATGGGGAGGACTGAGTTTAAACCTTACCAAATCACCTATTTATGGGTTCACACATTAGAAGGGTTGCTGAATGAACAGTTACAAGATTGAAAATGCTATATATATATATATATATTAAAAAAAGGGATGTAAATGGATTAAAGCTAAACAAAATCCACCTTGTATTTTAAAGGGGATCTATGTTTAAAAGACTGAAGGCTTTGTTTGAAGCCTTAGAAATTTCCATCACTAGTTCATGCCTCTTAGTAGCAGAATTCTGGCATTTATGTGATAAGATGAAGGCTATAGAATGCAATTTTAATTTGTGAGGAATGAGCTTTTCATTATTTTTGCTTTGAAACATAGGGTTAATGAGCATGTAGCAAGGCTCCGTAGTTTAGTGCCATTACTACAGTTCATCCAATTTAGAGGGAGAAAAAGAAATAAAAGGGAAGTGGAATTAGCACAAGAAAATTATACAGATGTGGGAATGACAGCTGAATGCTTAGTGTGAAATTTCCCTTCAAGGTTCATGCACATCCTCAAGGGATGGAGCATTTTGAAATGATTAGCTCTTCACATAGTAAAGCCTTCTTCCTTGCAGTCATGGCAACGACTCAGGAGCTCCCCTCTTTTCCCGTCTCCTGTACCTTGGCAACAGGAATGCTGCAGGTTTTTAATCTGTTCCTGTTTGGCTCTTCAGCTGCCCAGTTCAGCTTCTGAGTTTAGGTAACTTGCAAATGTAATGACCCATTGTTACTAATGAGAAAGGAGAGCTGCAAACTGGGAAATCAGCTGGGGACATGGCTTGCTGTCACCCCTCAGGCCTTAGGATGCTGCAGGAGAGATGAATTTTGTCTGGTTTGGAGCCACCCTTGATGGCCAAATGGAACCTGGAATTGGCTTGGTTAATAACTAAGAGTGGAACAAGGTAAAATCTGCAATTATCCTAGAAATCTGTTGTAAGCAGTCAGGGTTTTTTCTGTTTGGCTTTGGTTTTCTAAATTGTACATTCCTTTCTTTAGCGTTTTCCCTGTGTCCATGATCTCACAGTTTCCTGTCAGTTATGTTTGCACAGTCATTCTTAGAAGCAATCTCTCTTTAACTCTGAAATTTGTCTGGACCCGGTAACTGGTAGAATGGTGGTGTTTCCATGTGGAGTTACCTGCTAAGTGTGTTGGCTAAATGGAGACTTAAACCTACTTAGAAAACCATTGGGCTGTGGCCCCATTAAATAGACATATCTGTGAGCCAAGCAAAGCATTTGGGGCATCTTCTGGGATAAGTGCTCTTCTGGATTCCTGTCTCAAACCATTTATTAAAATTTTACTGCTTGTCTTGGGTGTGAATTTTCAACAGTTGAAAGACAGTTATCTGACTTCTACAAAATAAATAGGGAGCGTAGTTGGAGCAGGTGACTCATTTTTTGTATAAATAAGGGTTTTTTTCTTACTGTTTGTCATTTGGAGAGAGAAGTGTCTTTAGGCTGAAGGACATGATACAGAGACATTGTGTTCCCTTACGTGGTCCCAACTTGACCTGAACAAAGGAGGATTTCTCAGGGTTATCCTACCATACTCTTCAGTCAGAAAAGCCTTCCAGAATTTTTAAATTTGTCATGTTAAGACTACCACTGCATACCCCTGGCAAGATATTGCAGTAGATGTAAAACATGGTGTTTTTCTGTCAGTAGTTTTCAGATCAGGTTGACAAGGTGGCGTTTTTCCCTTGACTTTCTTATATGTAGGTTGAAGTCATAGTCAGCAGACTAAAATAATTTCAGCCATTTCCTGCTTCATGTAAAAGGAACAGAGAGGAAGTTAGCTGTTACTGTTGAGGGCAGTTTGAGAACTGACCAGAACAAGAACAGCCAGAATTAAAAAGATAGCCCGGAGCACACAGCCAGTACTGAGGGAACAGAAACCTGCACTGCCTCCTGCACTCCTGCATTTCCAGGGCCTGGACCATCCCCTCCTTCTGCTGAAATGGTGTGGGACAAGTGGTGGGGAGGAAGTTTCTGAAGAAGCAGACAGCTTTATATTCAGAGCCTGTGGGTCTGACATCTTCCACGAGATCTTACACTCAAATAACAAAGTCAGGTTTGTTTATATATATTTGTCATCAGTCTTTGTATTTGGAACAAAGACTTCAAAGACTGGCCTTGTTTGTATGGTCAGTGCAGAATGTAACTTCATTACTGAGGATCTGCACCTTCCCATAAACCTCAAGCCTTTTTCTCCTGCTTTGGGCAGGACAGTGCTTTAAAAAATCCCTGAAATATGCTTGGCAGTGTGAGATTTGGCAACAACATTAACTGCTTTGAATAAATCAGATAATCTGAGCCAGATATTCTAGATCTACTGCATGATTGAAACTGGGGTTTATTACTGACTGAATGCAGACCTATTTATTTGTGTCTACTAAAAAGCACTCTAAAAGGTAATGGTAATGTTGCTAAGGAGCTGCTTACCTGCCAGATGTATCTGTGTGATGCATGAGGTGACCATGGGAACCAATTTGGTGACAATAATTGAAAGAAAACCTTGCAGTGAAATGATTATTCCATGTATACTAAATGTTTCTGCAGTTGCATTCAAAAAGCTTGTTTGTGGGAAAGAGTGTAATAGCTAGAAATCCATTTAGAGAGAAGGGTCAGCATAGGTCCTGCATAAAAAATACATTACTAGAGCTAGTTTTTTTGATGTATATTTTACAAATCGTGTTTTGAAAATAAATAGGAAATCTGTATGGGCTTATCAACTTTGTGCAAATTTAAAATGGTTTGCTGTGTATTCCTTGGGGGTTCAGTCTTTTGCCTCATTTCATTTTTTGTAAAAAATTAATTACAGGTTGCTGTATTCCCCCCAGAGAACTTATTAACTATGTCTCTCTCTCTGAAGAGTGCTTGGCTCTCCTGAGATAAAGTGCCTTAGGCTAAGAGCTGCTCATTCCATTTCCGATTCATGAAGAATTTTTTTAACTTATTTTTATCCTTACTGACACTTTTCACGAGTGATAACCAATAGCACTACATTGGGATCAAGGCTGTGACGATCTCCTCTGATGAAGGAAGTGTGTGCTGCACAGGTGATTCTTCGGGGGTTGAATTTTACTTGAAAGGTTAAGTACAAAGATTGTTTTAAAGCATATGTGTTGAATTCAAAGGAAATATTTTCAAATTTACTATAAGCATTACAATGGTAGGAAAACCTCATGTTGCTTGATATCTTTTGTTGGATATAGTTACTTAAAAGTTGCCCTCAGGATGCCACCAAAATACATGTCCTGAATACATGTTTCTGCCCTAAAGCCATTATGGTACCGTTCCCATTTAACTCAGGAGTGAATTGTGCAGGAAATCTGAAATAATGGCTGGTGTAAGATTGCATTAGAATTTGCTTCCTTTTTCAGTTATGGCCCAGCTGACAACTGTCATCTATATCTGTGTAGAGTAATTAAGAAGGAATCATTATAAAGAATTTATAATGGTAGGTAGAGTTTGTTTGGATAATTAAGAGACATTTCAGTGCAAATAAAGAGGGGTGAGAATGATTTGTGTTTCAGATGAGAAAATACGGAAAGTTGAAGTTCTGTAGGGTTCCAGATGAATACTTTTATGGATTGGCTTATCAACAGACAGATTGTTTCACCTATAAATGACTGTACCCAGCCTGGCCATGGTCTCTTTGCTCCAAAGTCACTGCAGGTTGTGTGGCTCAGTCTCAGTGTCTGGCAGCTCTCAGACCAGCACTGGTGTCACAGCTCAGACCAGCACTGGTGTCACAGCTCAGACCAGCACTGGTGTCACAGCTCAGACCAGCACTGGTGTCACAGCTCTCACACCAGCACTGGTGTCACAGCTCTCAGAGCAGGAATGGTGTCACACCAGTGCAAAGTGAAGACAAGGCTTGTGTGTGTTCATTTACAGCCCTGCTGGGGCTTTGCTTGCCAGCACACAAGACAATAAGGGTCTTTTTAAGGCCTGTAACAACTCAAATAAGTTAGATGTATTCTTTTGTAAAACTGGAATAGATGTATGCTCATAATCCACAGTGGGGCTGGAAAACGTGTCCAAGTATAGAAAACAGGCTGTTTCTCTACTTGTATTTGAGCATCTGAAGGTATTTTAGTATTGCAGAGAAGAGAATTCATACAATTACAATGGAAGGATACTTAGGTAGACAGTTAAGTTTTTCAGAAGGTACTGTTTGAATGCCATGGCTCATAAATTCAAATAAATAACTTTAATTTGCACTGTAAAAGTGAATTAGAAGTTGGCAATATATTTAGCATAATTTCTTTTTATTTAGAGTTTTGAAAACAAGTTGTCTTTTTTAATTTTCCTGTGTTCCAGTGATTTGAATCAGTCCCATTTTTACTTCCAAGTGGTGAAGAGGACCAAATGCTTCCCTCCCAGTTAGCTTCAATATGCTCTCAGTGGAGCAGAGAAGTCAGGTTCTTTCTTACTCTGGGAAATGAGCTTTTTGCAGTGCTAGAAATCCCCCTTTGGAACAGGATTGTGATGCACTGCTGGAATTAAGTTACTTGGAAGTCTCTGAGTTTACCTGCTTTCACCATCATGATATCCACAGGGAGCTCCAGTTATGTGATTTACTATTCAACACTTCTTTGTGCTAATTGGAAGGTCTGGGTTTGATTTATTTAACACAGTGTGTTTCTCTCCAGTGTACTTTAAAAGAGCATATATTATAGAGATTTTCTGTAGACAGACTCCATCCTCTTCAAGTCCTGCATGATTGTTTCTTTGTAAGGCACAAATGAAAAGTGATTCTTGTAAACAGCATAGTCACTAATTGATTGTCCAAAGGTCTTACTTAATTAAAACTTCTTTTTGTCTTCCAGACACCCCGAACATGTGAAAATTTTATCAAATTGTGCAAGAAGAACTATTATGATGGGACAATTTTTCACCGATCAATTCGGAATTTTGTGGTGAGTATTGAAAAAATCCTGTCTAATACACCCAACATGTGATGTTCTCAAAAGATACATTTACTTATTTCAGCTTTAGGTTCTTCCATGTTCGACAGCTTGAAATAGGTGTATATTAAATGTACCATCAGAACTAGGATTGTCCTCATTTACTCAGTGTGCACTTACTGGTGTTACTAACAATTGTCTCTGGCTCATGGTGTCACTTGGAGCATCACTGCATTGCTTTGGCTGTTCCAGACAAAGCCTTTCGGAGTCACTGCCTTGGCAGGGCTCTTGTTATCTTCCCTGAGCTGTGGGTGGGTTGTTGATGAACAGGAGAGAAAGAGAGAGGGAAATGCTAATTTGGATAAGTAATACTGTGGCCTGTTGGAATCCCATTCAGATGAAACTTTAGAGAGCAGCTGAATTTCTGTTTCAGGTTGTGGCGCTTGGATACTGTCCAGCCATCCTTTCCTGAGCGTACTCCAGCACTGGGTGCTCAGGCTTTCTTTGGGAAGGGCTTAAAGAGCACCTTGTCTTCCAGGACATTGTCTTTGGTAATGGAAGATCTCTATTTGCACAGTTACAGTCCAGGCAGTCTGGGATACAGTAGCTGCCCTGTAAGTTCCTTTCAGAAGAATTAACAACTTGATCCTGAAGGCAGAGCACATCTTTCAGGGAACATCACTGGATGTTACATTCCATCCTGTCATCCTACAAAAAGCTTTTTTTCCTTTGACAGCACTGTATATCTCAGTTCATAGTTAAACTCACAACTAAAATTGTGCTTGTGTGCTGTTAGTGTGAAACTGGCCATGGCACACTCCCTGCACTGGCATTAGAATGTGGAATATTATTTTTGTAGATCCTACATGTGCAGTGATTAATGCATGTGATAAATTTTGTTGCTGAAAGATTGGTTTCACATGAGGATTTTTTCTACTGCAGACAGTGAGGGGGATACAGGAAAATACAGATTCAGATACAAAAATATTCCATATTCTTTCATTTCTTGCCTTCCCTCATGTGGAGGGTTGGTGGCAAAATGTAAAGCCTTTTTTGTTCCGAAAGCAGTGCATCATCAGTTAAAAAGCAGGTTATGACCCAGCACATAATAGAAAGGATGATCTGGTTAACCCATTTGAGACTGGTTATTTTCCCTGTTTACCCACAAGAGACATATTATTTTTATAAAACTGTCATTCTGCTCTTGGATAAGCAACATAAGGGGCGACAGACAGCTGATAAAAGCAACTCCAAATAAATAGTAATGGTTTTCTTTTTGCTGACTTGTCAACATGACACAGTATAGAAGGAGGAAAATCAAGCAACATTGGCTTTTATGGTTTGTATTTAATGTCTTTCACATGGATACATATGTAACATTGATTTAATTTTAATTCTGCAGATCCAAGGAGGTGATCCTACTGGGACAGGAACAGGTAAGGTTGGCTTTGAATCAAGTAAACTGTTTTCACTTCATGTGCTGTGTTGTTACATTTATTTCCAGACAGTTTGTAGATTAAAATTCTCTAAATGCTGTTACATGGTACATTGTGTTTACTTTAAAGGAGAGGTTTTATTGATATATGTTTATGACCATGTTGACCATGTTCAGAATTTCATTTGATAAACTCTCAAGTCCAAAGCTCAGAAACTCTTCCATGCAGAATTTTTGTTGGATTTTTGCTTCCTTTTTATTTCAGAAAATAAATAAATGAAAATTATAATGATTTTACAGCTGGCCTTCCTGGTCAAAGAACAAAGGAAGAAACACATTCATGCAAAGTTGCTTTCAAATTCAGCATTAATGAAATACTTGAGACCTGTCTCAGAATTGGTGAATGGCCAGGTACCATCTGTTCTCCCAGCTAGTTGCCTTGTAAAGCCCAAGCTGCTCTTTTTCTAACTTTTAAGGATCACTGTTAGTAAATTCTTCTGCTTGTTCTTCCTCCCTTAGCTGGAGATCTGGTAACAGTCATGTCAGGAATGGTCAGGAGACAGAGCAGCTGAAAGGTCCTCATTGCCCACCACAGGAGAGATGCCTCGTAATATCTCCAGTTGCTGCTATAAATTTGCTCATTTTCCACTTTACCCTTTTATCTCCCCACTTGTGGATGTCACCAGTGTCCCCAGCTCCCTGCCTGGTCCTGGGGGGTTCTGTGCATCTTTGTTCCAGTTCATAAATGTGTCATATGCAAGCACTGTGTTCTTCTGTGTGTGCTCACAGGTCATCTAGAAAAGCCCTTGTAGCTGGTAAATACTTTAGCTCTATTTACTGTGTAAATAATGTCAGTGTGAGTTGCCCAACAGCTCTTCTTACAGTGTATGTGATAATCAACCCTTGCAAGATATGAGACTAGTTAAAGGTTCAGTGTTTGGATGGCAAAAGCCCATTAACAAGAATTGTTGCCATCTCTGCTTGGACTGTCAAAATAAATGCAATTTGAGTTTTTATAAGGAAAGTTTTGGTTCAAATCCCAAAAGACATAATTAGGAACATCTTTTAAAATGAGAAATTAAGGAGGTGTCAGGAGACAGGAGAGATTTAATAGGTTGACTCAGACACCTCTCACCCTTGCAGGGTGGAGTTCAGATCCTGCTGTGGAATCAAAATGAATTTTCTGGTGTCATTCCTGTCTCTGTTTGTGCAAATGGTCAGAAGTGCTGTAAGACAGCACAATTAACAGTTGGCAGAGGACTGGCAGTGCTGCTGCACTGAAGGTCAAGACTCAGCTCTACTGGCAAAGCCAGTAGGAAGTGAAATGCAAAAATCCTCCTACATATACACTTAAAAAAAAAAAAAAGAGTCTAATGACCTCTAGTCTTTTCCATCTTGTTTTCCTCTGTGTCGTTCTTAATTAAATATGAATATATCGCAGGCGAGATGTCTTGCAAACATCTGTCAGGACTGTTAAAGTTCTAATAAAATGAACAGTGTATGCTCAAATGGACATGAGTGTTGCAAATTTTTAGAGACTGACTGTAATTATGATAGAGTCCAAACAGTACAAATGTCTTTTTTGCAACTGAATAGTTTTTATTTCTTGAAGACAGTTGAATTTTAAGTATCTTTATTTAATCGCTTATCGAATATGATAATATCACAAGAAAATCTAAATGGACAGCGTGGTGGGCTGCTGGATTGCTCTTGAGCTGTCATGCCTGTGTGTTTAATACTTTCTTAAATGAAGCTGCTTAGACAGTTCACAGAGTGCAAGCAGTCTGTCAGGATTTGTTCCTGACTACCTGATAGATCCAGGGCACTTGACTGGGAGGCAGAAATTTCACTTGTGTGTGTCGAGCTGTAAGAAGGTGGCCAGACCTCAGTGCCTGTCTGGCTTGATGTTCTCTCCTTGATATTGTCTCCACAAGAGCACAGGCAGAGGAAGGTGCAGCTCAGCAGCAGAGCTGGAGCCTGGCAGATGCAGTGATGCCCTCCTGGGCTCCCCTGCTCTGGAAGGGTTGGTCCATTGGTTTGTGCCTCGTTAATGTGATCACAGGCATTCATGTTAGGAAAGCTTTGGAGTAAAGCACTGGGATTCAGTACTTTGTACCTTTTTTACCTGGGTCCTCTATGTTATTTGCAGGATAAATTCTCTTTTTTATTTCATTTGACAACTGCAAAGAATTTCAGTATTTCTTTGATTCACTGTTTCTTAGAAGGAAAAAAAAAAGATGCATCTTTGAAGGCTAAAAAGACCATAAGATTTAGTGGTCTTTAGAAGTAAATAACTTGACTTCTGCAATATCAGAGAAGCATATGAGAGTAGAACAGGGCTTTCTTCCCAGATACTTCAGTTGGCAATAGGGAGGACTATGTGGAGGTTACCCTTTAAATGTCAATATTTTAAACTGTTTCTGTTAGGCCTTTTGTAGGAAGACTTCAGAAAAAACAGCATACTTTGTTTCTCCTTCCACACAGAACCTTCTGCCTTAACTGATGGTCTCTGGCTAAGAGGTTTGGGATTTTTTTTTTTGCCTGGGTTTTTTTAAAAAAAAACCACCTTTTCCAAACTGATACAGGGAAGGTACGTTAAGCCTGTATATATTTTTCTTCTTCTGTTTATTTAATTATTCCTGTTCATTAGTTCAGGAACTAGAACAGACTTGTTCAAGTATCTTCCCACCATTTGGTTTCTGTCATCTGACATTCATCTCATGTTCAGCAGCAGGTGTCAGGTTTATGGTTGCAATACCCAGATGCTCAGATGATCACCTACTCCATTGCCAGCTAAGGCCAGGACTGTTCATCTTCTGGGTGGGTTTGAACACACTCAGTACTACATGACATAAGGTTATGAGTCACACAGACTGCAACTGTGCTCTCAGCTCACCTGGATTAAGTGTGCTTGTGTTTTGGAAGCACTTCACAGAGGTCACAAATGCCAAGCTGGTGGTCACTGACCATCCTCTTCCATGGCTGCTCTGGCTGAACAGCCCTCTCTGTAAGCAGCTCTGATCCCTACTTTGTTCTGTTATTCAGCTCCCCAGTGTCCTTTATGAGTCTCTTTTGGGCTGTCGTAAAAGTAACCGTGACCCAGCAGGAGTGTGAAGGACAACTGATTCCTGGTACTGAGCAGTTGACCTTGGGATGGAGGAGGGTGGGAATTAGCCTTGTGGTATCCAGGAGTTGAGATACCACCCTGGGAAAGGAGTGGGGAATAGTTTCCCTGTAGCACAGCTGGCAGACTTGCACTGCCAGAGTAGTCAGATACACAGTTCTGACACTGATTTTGAGGACCAGGCTCATTTTCTACAACCTTCAACTTAATGTTTCATAAGACCACTGGGAGAAATTTTATTGTGCAGCAGCAGCTTATTTCTTTTCTAACAAAATAACCACCCATAGAGGCAGTATTCAGAGCAATAAGCTGAGTCATGGTCATTCTTTGTAATGATTTATTATTTGAAAATGAATTTTAGATTTGTGACGTATCTCTTTTCCTACCGTTCATAACAACTAAGTGGTTGAACATTGTGAGTAATTCTAACTCATGGTCGTGCAAGTGGAGCAGCTGCTCTGTGTTTTCAGTGTTCCAAATAATAGAAGAAAATTTGCATGTAGGAAAAATAGGTTTAATATCCTAACCCTTTTGTATGAAAAAGGGGAAACTGTATGCAAAGCATTACATTTTCAAAGCAGCACAGGCATTTTTCAGCCACTGTGACTTGCAACCTGTTGGAAGATCTCATGAATCAGCCTGTGTGTGCCTCTGTCCTTTTATGAATCCTGGAGGGCACAAAGGAGGCCTAAAACAGCTGTAAAAGTCCCAAGATAAAATACCACTGGGAAATGGGAATTGCATTTTAGTTGGCAGCAAGAGCTCCTCTGAAATGTCAATAGCAAAGGGCTGTGGACAAACTCAGTCAATGCAATGTGATGTCCTAACAAAGCAAGTTCCTAAACTGTGTCAGTTGTAGAACCCCTATTCATGCCTGACTGAAGCTCAGCAAATGGGCAAGAGCAAGCCTTTTTTATCCAGAATATACTCCTTTTACATTGCAGCCCCTCTGCAAATCCTGTCACAGGTATGTGGGGTTCAGAGTACCATGTCCTCTGAGCTGAGAGGAGAGAAGCACTTGCTGCCTGAGCTGAGGCTTTCATATTTGCAAAATGATTCCAGAATCTCACTTGGAAAGCTCTACAGAAGTGTCAGATGTTATTATGTACCTCGTTGTTCCAAATGACAAGAAGAAAATTACAGAAAGTAAGCCATCATTTTTGTGAATCAGAGCCCTCCCACTTCCTTACCACTGCTTAGCAATTTTTATGCCAGAAAAAGGAAGGATTTATTTAAAATCACAACTGTCATGAATGATGATTCCCAGCCCACACCTGGCTTTTGGAATGCTACATTTCTGAAGCTTTAGGTGCATCTCTCAGCTTTTTGCAACAAAGTTGTACAAATTCTGTGATTTTACCTCATAAAATTTTTGAAAATACCTTTAGTAGAAACAAAAACTACCAAAGAGTAATCTGGTTTAGTTCAAAAGATAATCTGAAAATGTGGCTTTTTTCTAGAGAGTGGCTTAATGTGTGATTGCTTCAGATGTCAGTTCAGATCTGTTCACCTGTTCACTGTCAGCACAAGATGCAGCTACGAGACTGAGTAACTAACCACACTTCAGCACAAGCTATTTTAGGTACATTAAGTGTATTATGTGCAAGTATCTTGCCACTCTGGATAGCCATGGAAATTATTAATATTTTTTAAGAGTTGCGTGGTCTGTCTTGTTTCATCTCTGTGTGAGAATGAGTTAAATGCCTCTTTAATTTAAGAGAAGGGTTTTTTTAGTGAAAAACATGTGGAATTGTCTCCCAACTTCCTTCAGATTTGAACCTGGGGTATCTTGAGTAGGCATGTGATTTTTGTTCTACCAAATTGTACAAAAGCTCTTTCTGGCTCCTGAAGACTTTGGCGTTGAACACGTGAAATGCTGTTGAAGGCCAGTGGGTTTCTGTGGCTGATCTCAAGCACATTTCCAGCTCCGTGCACGCAGGAGATCCCCGGGGGGGGTGTAAGTACTCCCAGCACCAATCCAGCCAGTGGCAGTACCTGTTGGGGCCATGGCTGCTGCCATGAGAACTCCTCTGATCTTCAGCACAGAAGCCCCCTGAATTTTTTTCCAGCACTTTTTGTAATAGGATCTCAGAAACATTTGCAAGTCCAGTAGGCACCACAGATAATCTAGTGCCCAGCAGATAATCTTATCAGGAGTAAGCTGAGAGGAAGGTGAGGTGAGGGGCAGTGCTGCCAGCTGGGCATCCAACACCCAGAGGAAATTCTTGTTTTCTGTGGGCTTTGCCTGTAGGTGCTGCATCAGTGTTGGACTGAGGGGTTTGCTGTGTCCTGACTCTGTGTCTACTCAGCAGTGATCCGGGTGTGCTCGGAGGAAGATTTGGGGAATAAAAGGAGGAGCCTCCTCTCTTTCTGGCACATTCTGAGAGTGTAACATGAGAGGGCAGGAGCCAGACGCTGCAATGCTCCCACCTCCCCTGTCTGCATCCATCCTGCTTTCAGGAAACTAAGAAAATGGCACAGCCACACTCCCAACTGTGTTGAGATTAAACGCAGTCAAATCTGCTAGATACTTCCCAACACCTCATAAATATTATTATTAGGTTTGGAGGCTGTGAGTGATTTTCCCAAGGTTACACTGAGATCTGAAATGTAAGAATGTGAAATCCCTGTTGCAGCCCCCCTAGCTGAGCATTAGGCACTGTGCTGCCATGGCACTAGACTGATGAGGGGTCTGCACTTAAATCTTCACAGGGAAAGTAATGCTGGGTTTCAGTAAGTAAAAAAATACATGTGTGCAACTTGCCATCTTCTGGCTTGCTCGGTCTAGTCCTGCTTCAAGCAGATACTTGAAGCCTGGAACAATTCCAGAGGTTAGCAGGAGTTTGACAAAAAGCACGTTCAGGCTATTTGGGATTTTCCTTTTTTTTTCTTTAAAAAAAAAGGAAAATCCCAAAGTATTCTCCTTAAATTAAAAAAAAAAAAGTATTCTCTTTAAATTATTAAAAAACCTGAAACAAACCAACAACAAAATCCCCAGACCATGCCTGCACTGCTGTCTGAGTGCCTTTGCAGTGTCTCCACCACCCTTTGCCAGTCTGTGCTGCCTGGTCTCCACAGACACTTCAGCTCTGTCCTTCAGAGGACGTCTGGCCTTTTAGGCACATTCTGCACAGGCCATTCCCATTCTTGCTGCAGCTCCTGGGCAGTCAGAATTAGCCTGGCAAACAGCTGTTTGGCAGACAGAGAGGGAAGCAGGGGCTGGATCTCATGCTGTAACTATCTGCTAAAATATTAGCCCTTACCTGCAGAGAACTGGGACGCACCAAAGTTAGCCTTCACACACGAGATTAATTCTGACCTGCAGTGCATGATCCAAAATGAAATTATACAAAAATAAATATTCCAAAACCTAAAGGTCATGGCTCATTACTCCTGTCTGCAGGCTCTTGGGTCTGGTTGGTTGTTGTGCCAGAAAGAGAGAGAGTCTCTGTCATTCACAATTTTTCTCTTTCCTTTTGAATAATTTTTCTGACTGGTGAAGGCTTTAGGCTTGATTCCACTCTCTTTCAGCAGGCTGACAAAGCTGTAATTCCAGCATGGAATTACATTCCCTGCATACTGGAAGCATTTGAAGGGTGTAGTGGACTCACAGGTTTGGCCAATTGCTGCTGTGTCCCATCTCAACAGGTTGTGCTCATGTCCTGTATCCTCTGAAAACTTCAGCCAGCACAAACTCCTCTAGAGCTGGCTGCAGCTGGACTATATGCTTGTCATCCACTACTGGAAAAGATTGGCATATGGGATCAAGCTGATATAATTTAGCTAATCTTAAAATATTCAATAGCCAAGGGTTGTGGAAGTAATCACTCCTCTACCCCTGATTACAGAAAATCCCTACAGGGTTTGTCCCCTTTTGCCACCTCTTGTCAAGTTGCAGAGCAGGCAACACTCAACTCTATTAATAAATCTTTTGAACATGATTAATTGGATTTTTAAGCGGGTCGCTTTCTTCCAAAATCTCACTTATTCAGTTCCACTCTCAGCTGTCCAGATGTGATGCCTTGTTTTCATGGTATCATCTGAAACTCTTTTCTCATTTAATGCACTCTTGTGATTTTTTTGGATGAGGTTTTCAGTAGGAGGCTGTTCCCTTCCTCGGTTTTATTTGCTCTTGCCTGTGCAGCCGTGTCATCAAACTGCTTCTGTGTGTTCCATGTGCAAATGGCCACTGAGCACCACAGATCCTTTACTGACCTCCTGCTGCACCAGTGATACACTTACTCCAGAGGATTCTTGAGCCTGTTTTGCAGATGGACCAGTCATGCTGTCTGTTTGGATAGTTTTGTTTGTTTTATTTTTAATACTGTCCTAAGGTGAAATATTTTTCATGGTTTGTCAAACAGGATTATGGATTTGACTGTAAAACTATGACTCATCTCAGTCTTCGTTTTTCTTATTAAGAATGATCCTGGTGGAAAGTGCAAATGAAAATGTCAGATCTGTCATAAATAATGTAAAAATGACAGCCAGGGGGAGAGCTCTGCCAGACCCTCTCTCTGTCCACAGTCACAGAAATCAGTTTTGGAGGGCTGCGACTGGGGTTTGTGCAGTTTTGTCATCCTTTTGACTTCATTGCATTTAAGTGCTCACATCATCCAGGTATCTAGTCCAAATATCTAATTTATGCCTGTTATTTTGGAGGACCATGTGTCATCATTCCGGATTGTTTAGCTGGAAATCAAGCATTTGAGCTTATAGCTCCTGTGCTTAGTTGATTCTATGAATGCATTTCATCTCCCTGATATTTTATTTCTGGAAGCAATGCTATATCCAGGGTGCAATTAAACTAGTAATTCTTTGCTCTGTGTTTTGTCAGAAAGCCAATTTTAAAGATTTAATGTCTCAAAGGAGAAAAATGATGGTGGACCAGCAGTAAAAAATGAAATCCTTGACAGTTCTTCAGCACAGGACACATAAGGCTGTTGATAAGCAGTGTGCTCTGTTGCAGCTGATAGTGTGAGGCACAGAATTTTGTTGCCAGTTGCAAACATCAGATTTCAAGGTCGAGCTCAAATACTGGCCTAGTGATAGGGGTGAGGTAACAGTGGATGACACAGGTAGTGATCCAGGTGCTGGAAACCTTGAGTTTAATGTCAGTGCCTGTTACAAAACACAGTGGGGAACTAATGAAAACAAACATTATTCTTCTGTCTTTTCTCTTTTAAGGAGGAGAATCTTACTGGGGAAAACCTTTCAAAGATGAATTCAAGCCCAATTTGTCCCACACAGGACGTGGTGTTCTTAGTATGGCAAATTCAGGACCCAACACAAACAAATCACAGTTGTAAGTAGTCACTTGCTTTTTATGCTTTATTGTTTCCCTCTGGACATTGTGTCTTACTCTGTTAAGAAAACAAATGACATTTTATGAGCTACTCTTTAAAATTCAGTCAAGTGAAATATTCTGTCAGGTGCTGCATGTTCCAGTCAGGGCTACAGCTGCTCTTACCAATCTAAGAGCAAAGTGAAGCATGGCAATAAGACCCAGAGATTTATTGTATCATCAGTAATTTGTCTTTTCTGGTTTTATAATTTGAAGTTTTTGTTTGTTTTTGTCAGTGTGCCCCCAGTGTTACCCCTGTAAGATCATACCTATTCACTCTGTTTAAATTTAGCCCTGTATTGAACTTTTTGAAAGGGCTTAATGAAATGAAACATACACTCTATGAAAATGTTACTTCTTTTTAGTCACCTGATAAAGAACAGTTCTGCTCTTTTGAAATGTTTAAACCCAGACATGGCAAAGTGCACAATCTGGGATTGATAATAACTTGTTTTTCAATGTACAAAAGCAGAATGAGGACTAAAATGAGGAAAAAATGCATAAAAAAGCAGAAAGTAACACCAAGGAAATGTAAAGATGCTGAAGTTGTAATAGCCTTGTTTGTGTGTAACATTAATATGGGTGTTTGCCTGCCATCCTTTGAAAATGTCTCTTTGAGCCAGCTATTTATTGGTTGCTCCAAAGTTGTTCTTTTATCGGGAGCAGCAGGAGAGTGAGAGAATGTGTGTGTGGGTGTGTACAATACTGTGTCTTGGGACTGAAGAGGAAGGGAGGGGGTTCTTGGTGTTGGTCTTCATGATAGTAAATGTTATTATGGCTTATAAACTCTGCAGCAGTGTGGTTTGCTTTAATTCAACACAAGTGCTTGTCTCAGGGCCTTTAATAGGCTTACTCACATTCTTAAGGCTAAGCACGTGTTGGGCAGTTTGCAGGATCAAGTTGCTGTACAACTTATTTTGGATTTGAATGTTGTTGCCAGCACTCAGGTGCTAAATTATGGGAGAGCAGAGACTTATTTCTTCTTTTCTTTAAAAAAAAAAAAAAAAAAGCAGGGATTCTAGAAACAGAAGTTACAGAGATCATGAGTGATGTGCCATATTGAGTCACATTTGCTGCTGTAAATGTGATTGTATGTTCTCCTAAAATTTGCAAATGTAATATGAAATTCCTTTATATATAAGTCCTTAAGAGACTCCAGCTGCCCATATTTATAAAGCTTCTTGGGCATCACTGAGACACTTCTGACAAATGCTGTGGCCTTGGGAACTGCTGAATAGCTTTCCCCATAGGTGACAGGCAGTGCAGGACAGAGGGAGCTGTGTCCCCTCTGCAAGGTGATGCTTCAGTAATGCTCAGGACTTCTCCTCTGGGGTCATCCCAAATTAATTCTGTTATCCTTAATTTTATTTTGACTGGCAGTAATGAATTAGAAGCTTTCTCTGTATATTTGCTACCGCTCAGATTTCTTTTTATTACAATGCTACATAACTGACCACATGATGTATTTAAGTATTGGATATCCAGGAATAAAGTGGTGCCCTGTGTAGGAGTTTGCATCCTGTACAGCATCTCAGTGCTTTCCTCCACGTCTTAATAGATTGTCTGGCACATTACAGCCCCTCCTATTTGCAATCATATAACTTCCTGAGGCAGTTGCTTATATGGAAAAGTGTTTTTGGAATGCTTATATATTTTTAGCTGTCTCTTATGTGGTGCAACAGATGGGGACAGGGAGGAGAGCCAGCACTGCATGTCCAGCCAAGGCGGGCCATTGTGGTCTGCAGAGCTCAGTGTGGAAACCTCTGTCTCACACACTTGTAGGCCAAGTTTTCCAAAGAAGCATCAAGCTTTAGAGAGAGGTTTTAGTAGTAAAGATTACTTTGGATTTGTAATTTAGTTCCCATGATAAAGTCTAAGAATACAGCCCCCAAAATTAAAAGTCCAGTTAATTAAAAATCCAGGCTTCACAGGTTTTCATTACTTTGGACACTTTGGAGTATTATTCTGGGGTATTTGTGTCTGAAGCACAAGTTTGCTCTTTGTCCAGGGGAGAAATGGATCACCAACAGGCCAACTGAAGGGAAGAGAAGTGCAAAAAGTAAATATCCAAAAAAATGAAATTTCCACTGCAGAGACTGTTGTGCCATGTAACTGTGTCTGCTGGATACAGCTCCCTGTCGTGCATGTCTCCCTGCCTTGCTCCCAGAGCCTGCGTGGCCAAGGAGGCAGATGCTCAGATTAATCTTGGACTTGGTGCAAGGCCCCATGGTTGGAATATTCTTTAGGGATAAAGGTGTAAAAGTGAGAAGTCAAAACTCCAGAAATCCAGGATGAAACCCCCAAAACTGAGGAGTTAAAGGATGTTTTGTCAGCGGGCCTCCCAGAGAGGAGCCAGAGAGGGAGGGGGGCTTATTTTTCTCCAAGAGCTTTTCCATAAACTTTCTGTTTTTAAGCATTCCTGGCTGTTGTTGAGGGTCAGTGGGACAATATGGTAACTGTTATGTCTTTATTCTTTCCAGCTTCATCACATTCCGCTCTTGTGCGTATCTGGACAAGAAGCACACAGTTTTTGGAAGGTAAGTGAAGGATATGGGCAGCAGTACAGCAGATGTGCTCTCCTGTGTGTCTGAAGCCTAAGGAGAAGAATCTGGTGACTCTTGTAATTGAACTGGAGCCAAATCCTAGCTCACAGTGCAGTTCTTCTGGGCATGAGTAGGTGGCCAACATGGCATCAGTGCCAGTCATCAGACCCTGCCTTTTTTCCTCCTTCCATCCCTGTAAGTTGCCTTACTTCCCTGGAGGGTGACCCTCCAGGAGTCATGAACACAGGAATGAACCATATTAATATTTGTGCATGGTAATTGCTGGGACACAGGAGATTACCTCTTCAATACTGCTTCATCCTCTTATAGGCCATCAACTGGAAAATTAGTCATGACAGGACTACTCTTCATCATGGCATAGAACATAGAGCTTCTGCATAGATTAGGCCTTTTGGTCCATTTTGTTCTTTTTTGTCCTTTTCTTTTATTCCTGACAGTTCTCATTGGTATAAAATCTGTATGTGTGTGTTTGTACATACATAAGTGTGTATGTACATAAAGATATTACCAATGCCCAAACAGTGAGGGAACTTCATTCCTTATAAAGAAGTCTCTTCTGAAAGTCTTTTCCAGTGAAGCCCTCACATGAGGGCAAAGTTTGTTCTTTGCTTGCTCTGCTGCAGGTACCTGGTATTTACCAAGCCAAGCACAGTGTTCTAAAGCATCCCCAGGAGCAGGAGGAGGGGGAATGTTGCTGGCCTGCTGCACTGGTAGTTCCTGAGAATCTTACAATCTTTTTAAATGGAGATCTGCTTTGTTATTCTTTTCACAGTTTTATCCATTTGGAAGTCAGCAATTGAAAATAAAACCATGTGCTGTTTACTTTGATTGGATGTCATGCAATTGTACTGTACAGTGACAGTGATATATATAATCCCATCTTTCCTGCCTGCAAGTTCTTGAGGCAGAAAATGCTTCATTGCAGTGGCACTTTGTTTTAGTGCTGTTAGTTCCAATACTGATTCTTCAATAATTGCACCCTTGAAAATGTATTTATTTTTTTCTTTCTCAGGTGTGTCCTAGAAAAATTCAAAGTTCCCTTGTCATTTGGTGAAAGCAGATAAATAAGGCAAATGCCAACACCAAAAGCTGAGAGCCAGTATATTCTTGGAGGAGTTACCTTACCTAGATCTTGAGACTATTTCACTTAAGCTACACTTTGAGTCAACCTTGCAAAAATCCCTTCAAATCCCATACAGTAATGCTGTTAACCTGAGCTGGCCACCTCATCAAATAGTATTTGGGTTAGGACAGCTCAGCTGAAAAGGTGCCTGTTCTTAGTTCTGGATGCAGCCTGGCTTCAGGGAGCACACTGGATAGTCCTGCAGTGTCTTTGCTGTGCTTCCCCAGGGCTCCAGTTTTACCCTAATTCACCAGGAAGGAATCTGAGGAGCAGCTGAGCTCCCTGGGGTGCAGGGAGGGTGCTCCCAAAAGCCTTTGCACCGGCTGATACTTCAAGTACCTTATGAGCAAAATAGCTCAGATGATGTTTCACACTGTACGTTGCCCTTTGGAGAGGAATTACTTCAATCCAAGTAAATCTGGTTAAATGTCTATAGCAGAGATTTTTGCAGTTTTAACAAAGACTGTCTTAATTTGTGAATTGTCTTTGTTACTGCAGAAATCTGAACTTAGGTGCCAGAATAAAGAAGTGGTGCTGCTTTCTCAGCACTGCAAATATTTTTAGCTGAAATATAATGGAAAAACTTTATAAAAAATGTTGGTTTGGAATCACGTTTGGCTCCCTGCATGAAAACTGGGTGACATCTTCCTATGAACACAGAGCAGGTGAATTTTACTCTGGTCTCACTTGCACGTAAATAAAGATTAATTCAAAGAATGTAAAAAATTAAGATACTGGGATATATGTATTCCAATCACTCTATATTAATCTACAAATTGAATTCTTGAATAATCAAATTTACCTAAAAATGTAATATAAAAGGTTGATGTGTGTAGCTCTTAAGATCTATATTCTGTCATCAAAATCCTTCAGCTCTTTTTACCTGCATTGTTTTGAAAAGCCATAGAAGAAGATGCCAGAGATTGTACCTCTAGTGAAACTTCAGCTTCAGTTTGCTATTTTAGATCCTGAGTGATTCTGGGATTTGGTGACTGTATCTGATCTTAGACTGTATAGTACAATAATAATGTCTGGGAAGCATATCTAGGAATAATATCTAGGTTTAAGAACAGAATGAACCCATGAAATCAGGATTCTTTGTTTCCATCAATGTTAAATTGGATTGTCTTGATTGGATGCTTACTGGCCTGTTGTGACTTTCATATAGATTTGAGGATTACTTATTTCAGTTAATATAAAAACCTAAATACTCTGATCTGACCTGTACCCTCAGCTATTCCTGTGTGGCTCTGGTTCCTGTTAATGTCACATAGGTATCTTGGAGAGCACAATTTGATCTGTTTGTAATTTGTATAGAACTTTTCAGCAGGTTTTCCATACTTCAGAGAACAAAAAAGAATGAAAGAGCAACCATTCCCCACTCCTTTCTTTGTTTTTTTTTGATCCTGTGTGGGATGGAACACTGATGGTTTCTTCTCTGGAGCTGTATCTTATTCATGTCCCCACTGGTTTGAAACACAATTTTTGCATGGGGTCAGATATTAGTGTTGGAGGTTTGGCTGTTGTTTGGAAAACACCCCAGGTGTGGGCAGTGGGGCTGTGAGAGGGGACGTGTCTGACTTGGGGCAGGGGGATTTTCGAGTCTCAGGAGAAGGGGGCAGCTGGAGGACAGGGCAGGCATCGTGTCCTGGTTGTGCTGCTCACCATGGCAGTGATGAGGATGGGTGTACTGAAAAGAAAGGAGATAATCTGGCGTGGATGGGGAGCAAAAACAAAGGCAGAGAGTGTAAGAAGAATGCCTTCCCTTGGAGGCTGCATGGATTTCCTGCTTAGCAGAGCTGCCTAGATTAAATTAGTAATTACCATTTCTAGTAATTACTATTTCTCCTGACTTAGAGAATGATGTAAAATTAACATGAAAACTAACTGGTGGCGTTTCTGGGCTTCTAGCTTGCTGGTAAGAGGTTTAATTTAGAAATTCAAATCATGTAAACCAACCAACATGCATTTGCTCTGCACAGAGTGGATGAGAAGCATTTCAGGGGCTGAACTGCTGCATGGGGAGGGTCCTGCCTGCTGCTGCCCTGGGCTCTGGGGGGGGCTCCTTCTTACCGTTGCCTTGCTACAACTGGGAGTTCAGCTGTGCTGTGATCTGCATGAGCTACAGGAACATTGCAGTCAAAACAGCAGAGAGGCTCAGATTCCTGTCTGCTATGCTTCATGCAATTTAGATGCAAGCACATCCCATCCATGTTGTTAGTATGTTTTCTGTTTTTCCAATGTCCTGCAGCTTCTGTGGATCAGAGACCTGCTACATTTACACTTTATAAGCAGACTTAGAAACAATCTCTGTCCCTGAGAGCTGTGTAAGCAGAAAAGAGACTGCATATAGATACAGGGAAGTTGTGACAATGACCCATTTCAGTCTACCTTCCACCAACAGTTTACACTTTTTTCAGAAAAAGAAACCCTCAGGAAAAAGTTAAATTGCTTTGTGGATGTGTTTTGGGAGCCTGTTCCAAAGCTGAAGAGACACATTAAAAAGTGCATGTTTCAAATAATAGTGGAAGGTGTTCAACAGGAGGAGAAAAATGCTTTTGGAATTTTGGGTGAGATTTAGGACAAGCAGAGCACGGTGGACTTGAAAATGAAGTCAAATTGGAGGCATCAGTCAGTAGCTGACATTCACTCAGCTTAGTCTTCTCTTTTCTTCCCTTCTCCCCTTGCCAGATGCTTTTGTGGAAGAGAGTTCTTCCCTTGGATCAGTATCACTCTCTATTAAGTATTCCTTAACCTCTTTAATGCTTTGTACTGCCATTCTGTAGAATGGGGCAGTGAAAGTAACTCTTGTCCTCTAAAGTAATTTTCTCCATAAAACAACTGCCAGTTAGCCGGGTAGGGTTAAATAAGTGTCTGGTTCCACTTGCAACATTCCCTGTATGGTTTGAATCAGTGAATCCCAATGGCTTCTAAGCTGGAAAACTCATGTTCTTCTTGCTCTTCTGCTTTAGTACAATTGAAGAGTGGAGAAATCGTGTGACAGCAGAAGAGCTGATTCTGTGTAGGAGCCTGACCTAATTTTGCCCTGCAGAGTCTGCTCCCCAGACACTAGGATAGGAGGGAAGAGCAAGGTGGGAAGAGAAGCCAGGCCTCCTTTGGAAGCTGTGGCTGTGGTCTCCTGCAGCACACCAGGACTGGGCTGTTGGAGCTGCATGAGGGCTGCTGTCATGTCCAAAACAGTTGTATTGTCTCTGGAGAGGGACCTGTGCCAAAGCAGGGAAGTCCTTGTGTGCCAGGTTCTTCTGTTGAGTCTAGTTTCAAAAAGATTTTTCCAAGTTGTTTGATTTTTTCAGCACCCTTTATTACCACGTCTCACCTGCTAGATTAAGCCCTTATGAGAGATGGAGATATTTTGGCTGCGTTCTTGTTGCATGTTGGAATTGCACCCTCCACTGCAGATTGAGTGTGTGCATAGAAGACATTTTGTCCCGGTTGTACGTGTTTGTGCATGTATGTACTGTTCTCTGTGTGTGTATATAAATATATGTTCTCCTTTTTATAAAAATAACCCTAAGGGCAGAATGTGTTTACACATACAGCAATGTTTCTTTCTGGTTTCTGTTTCTAGTTCAAAGCACTTTTTTAAACAGTCCAGACATTGTTGTTTTATCATCCTCTGACCAGGAAACTATCGTCCTGGACTGCTGCCATCCCCAGCACTGCATAAGGCTTGATTCCTATAATTCTTTTCTAAACAAAAGTATGAGAAATAGGTCCCCATGAGGGAGATGCACTCCTCTCTGGGGGCAGCATTGGCTGGTGTCCAGTGAGACCTTCCCTGGCACATTGCACATGGACAGAGCTTGCTCCAGATATTCCACCTACACGCCGTGCAAAGACATTGGTGGTGGTTATGAAGCAAGGTTACCAGGTTACATAAAGGAGCCCTGACAGGAAGGAAGATTTTAATAACATATCTAAATGTGAAATGCAAAGATATCCAGTGCTGACTTACCCAGTTTTCAAGAAAACAGAATTGCACGATTAAGGGCAGATTTTTGTTTTCATTCCTATGCTAACAGAAAAAAAACCTAAATGTGCCTACCTTGTCATTCATGCTTAGATGTAATGCAACATTTATCAAGCTCCTCTAAAAATACAAGCTGTCTCAGAGATGCTGAGCTAAATATATAGTTGAGATCATCCTTTCTCTGTTCAGTGTCTCCTGGAAGCACACAGCAAACTCTCGGTGTCACTGGTTGTTCTAATGTAAATGGTGTCTTGAAGGTGTTACCCTTTCCCCTGTAGCATGTCATCTGAACATCTGTTTAAACCTCACTTAGTCAATGTAGGACAAACCATGTGTGGCACCTTATAAAAGGAATAGAGCCAGAAGCAGGGGAAAACACTAAATTTGTTTCTGCCTTCTCCCTTCCCTGCTGGCTCCCAGCTTGGCAGAAATGACACTGCACGAGACAGGTCAGCACAGGGAACTGTCACTCTCTGTGTCACACGTTTAGGACTTGAAAAGACTATAAAAGGATATTAGCTGGACTTCTGGAGTCTGCATTTTCTTTTATTGGAAATGATGTATAGAGTTCTTTGAATATTAGAATAATATTAAGTAATGACTCTCTCTTTAGCGGTTTGGGTTTGGGGTTTTTTAATGTTTTTGTGTACTGATCTAATGGTTTTTTCTACATATAACTTGTATGGGCTTTTTTCTTGGCAAGATGTCCATGAGCTTTTCTTCTTACACTCAAAGTATGTGTTGTGGGACGGGCAAAGAATCCCCAAAACTTCTCTGGTGTGTTTGTTTCCTCATTCTGTGAGGAGCAGTTGCTGTAAGTGATGCCAGTGCAAGGGCTTTGACACATTACATCTCATCAAACTGATTTTAGTGCTGCAATGTAACATCATGAGATTTGACAATAACAACATGTAACGTTTCAAGAGCTTGCATGTACATTGTCTCTCTGCTTAGATCAGAAGAAAGCTTGGAAAAGCCTTTACAGTTTGAGACCTTAAGTTGAAATACTCAATTTTTTTGCATCCACCTATGACTGCCTTGGTTAGTGTGTAGTTCAGTTTTACAGGATGGGTCATGTTTGCTGTCAGATCTTGTCTTTTTTGGATATTAATTTTTAGTGATGAAACACCAGCTTGATCCTGACAAAGCTCCCAAGTGCTCCCTGAACAAAAGTGACCAGTAGATTATTTCCAGTGCCTCTGGTCAGAGCTCTCTCCTCTCAGCTGGTGGTTTGTATTCAAATCAGGTTTTATTTTTTATTGGTATTATGGCAGTGTCTAAAGACATTAACCTATATTGAAAGCTGATTGTGCTGACACTGTAATACACATAGAGATACAATCTGTGCAAAATGTTGGAGAATGCAGGGGTGTAAAAAACTAAAAGCAATTTTCCATTTGTGAGACAAGAAGTGAAGAAGGAAAGAGAATGACATGCTCTGCAGGCATAACAACTTTGTCTTATTCCCCCTTAGCCCTTTACAATCACATCAAAATAGACTGTTTAGGTCATTTACTGATGACCTGTGAATGCCATGTCTATCACAGCCTTTTAAAACATACAAGTGACAAAATATTCCCAATAAATTTTAATTAGCATAGAGACTGAAGATCTGGGAGCATCACCAAAATGCATTAGACCTACTGTTGTGGGAGGTCTAGCTATGGGCTAAGGGATTACTCAGTTGAGATTGCCAGTGCATAGCTGATGTGGCCATTTCAAATTATCAGAACCTAATTAAATGAAAACATATGGGCAGATAATGAGTAGAACTGTTGGCTAGAAAATCCTTCAATATTAAATCAGAAGTTTCCTTTGGGGCAGTTAAAATACAGTGAATATGTCTTAGACTGGGTGTTAATCACCAGTATTATAAGTGAGTCTGATGTGGGCCTGGAGGGAGATTTTAAAATTGAGTTTTTGTTATGAACTTTCCAAAGTTCATGCAGGGTCTTCAAGCCCTGTGCGGCCTCCCCCAGTGTGCTCCCTCCAGTCACAGAAGATTGAGGCTGTTCTAGCCTGCATACCTGGTTTTTAATTGCTCTCAGAAGCCACAGCCTGAGTGCAGCACATCAGCAGCCCCTGGGGAGTGAGGCTGGAGCAGCACTGAACGTGAGCAAGGACAGCTGTGCTGGGGAGGGTGCTGAGGAACCCTCTCTGACCTGCCTGGGCTCATCCTCTGTGATGGGCTCTGTCTTTTTGGGTGTGTTTAGTGCCCGTCCCAGCCCATGGGGTGGCAGTGGGGGCAGTGGGGAGTGGTGTAAAGGTGTATTTCTCCAGGGATCAGGTGAGACTGTGGCAGGTGAGAGCCGGGGGCCTCTCCTGGTGCTGGCTGGGCAGATGCCATGCCAGGATGGGCAGGGCTGTGAAACACCTCTGGGAGTGAGATAGCCTGGTACGACTGTACAAAGATGACTGTGAATACAATGTGTGTTTTGGTTGAGGCAGTGCTTATTTCTTTGATATGAAAGCAGAGTTAGGCGATAAAACACTACATATTCCACCAGTTTGATTTCTTTTTCCCCACCAGTTACATTTAATTTGATTTTCCTCCATTTCATCTGCCCAGCCCTTGACAGCCTGCCGGTGCTGGTGCTGGAGTCCCAGTAATCCCAGTAAACCCAGCAATCAGGCCTTAAAAGAGCTGCCCCCTGTGAAGGCTGGGGGATTGCCCTGTCCAGGGGCCCTCGGTGGCCGGTTCCTGTCCTCACTGCTGAGCCCCCCTGTCCTCATTGCTGAGCTCCCCTGTCCTCACTGCTGAGCCCCCCTGTCCTCATTGCTGAGCCCCCCTGTCCTCATTGCTGAGCCCCCCTGTCCTCACTGCTGAGCCCCCCTGTCCTCATTGCTGAGCCCCCCTGTCCTCATTGCTGAGCCCCCCTGTCCTCACTGCTGAGCTCCCCTGTCCTCACTGCTGAGCCCCCCTGTCCTCATTGCTGAGCTCCCCTGTCCTCACTGCTGAGCCCCCCTGTCCTCATTGCTGAGCTCCCCTGTCCTCATTGCTGAGCCCCCCTGTCCTCACTGCTGAGCCCCCCTGTCCTCATTGCTGAGCTCCCGGCCCCAAACTCCTCTGCCTGCAGGAGCAATGCTTTTGGGAATTACAGCTGCTTCTCATTGTCCCACGGTGTCAATAGGAACTGTAGTTTTGTTTCCTGGCCATGTGGCTTGGCTCTCTTAAAACAGATGTTGTCCAGCAACAGCCTGCTTTGCTAATGGATCTGGATCGCTTGGCATCAACAGCCTGTCTTCCTCTTTATTTACTGCTCTTCTAAGAATAGCTGTTTTCAAATAGAATTGGGGATGATGTGAATAAAAGTGTTAAATACCCTGGGACCAAGATCTGATGCCAGCAGGACCCCTCTGGAAATGTACTGACTCGGTGGTTCCTGTTTAAAATTAGATTTTAACACCTGTCAGCCAATTTTTTATTTAATGTGTGCTGTGTTCACCTCATATCGTTCTGGTTCCTCAATCAAAATATCAGCCGCCCTCCAGAAGTCTGTTCCATGGACACTGTTATCCCTGTTAACCACATCTGTTGTCTCAGTGACAGAAGGTTGTTTGACAGACTGTTTTCTACAAAGCCTTGTTGATTGCCGTTACTTATTTCCTTTCTTTCTTAATCATGTCCTGTCTCCACTATTCCATTATTTTTCTGGTATGGATGACAGGATTATAATTATCTGGTTTACCCCATTTATCCCTTCTAAATATGCTTTTCTGGAAGTTTCCCATTGTTCCACACTTTTTTTTTTTGAAAATGAACGTGCAACACTTCAGAAAGGCTTCAGCCTTAAACATTTTCAAGCAAGTATTTGGATATGTTGACTTGAAAAGTGAGAGGCCAGGGATCTGACATCCTCCAAAGTAAGAACTGCAGTGAGAAGTGTCCCAGCATTACCCTGTGGCTGTGATCTGATGCTCTGCTGCTTTCCCAGAGCCCTCATGAGCTCACGGTCATGACGTTCTCCTGGAGCAATCCTGTGCTTTCTGTGTTATTGGTGTTAGTGCAGACAGCTCTGTCACTGCTCTCCTGTAGTGCTGCAGTTACCATTCCCTTTCTTCCTGATAACATCTTCAGTCTGATGTACAATTTAAAAACAGAGAGACTTGTTCCTCATCTGGCTGGTTTGTGTGGCTCCAGGGTTTTTGGACAAATGGCTCTGCTTTGCCTCTGAGTGTTTGACTTTTCCATGTTGTGCTTAGTTTTAAATTCAGATCCCATATCTGAGAAAAAATTTTGACCTTCCATGCTGAATGACATTTTCTTAGATCTTCCAAATACAGTTGCTGATTTTCCATCACCCAAGCATGGTGTTTTAAAAATCTGCTAGAGAATGGTCATAAATTAGATATATTAAATGTAAGGGTGCAGGAATATTTTGAGTATGTTGTGACAGATGGATATCATGTCTTTCCTCTTTTAGGGTGGTTGGTGGCTTTGAGACTCTGACTGCTATGGAGAATGTGGAAAGTGACCCAAAAACAGACCGTCCCAAGGTACGTGTGAAGCACCAGGGGCTGTGGCCTCGCATGGCAGTGCTGCTCACCCTGCTGACACTTCTCAAAACTGAATTTGGGGGAGATGGCACAACTTAATCAGCAGATGGAATTATTGTTCTTCTCTTCTGCTCCCAGGAGGAAATACGAATTCAGACGACGACGGTGTTTGTTGATCCCTATGAAGAGGCTGATGCGCAGGTGAGGATGGTTGGTTGGTTGACTGTTTTATTTGAAAGGCCAAAGCTCTTCTGTGGAGAACTTTGTAACTTAATGCCTTTTCTTTGAACATGGGCAGCCCCTGGCCCATATGGTTGCCAGCTAAGGTTAAGCAACTGCCATTCAGCAGTGCCTGGTGTGCCAGGATCATCGTCACTCTTTCGGTGCAGAGTTACTCTTGCAGCTGAGTCTGGCACGGTGCCCAGGCCATCAGCTTCCCATGGCTTCCTTTCAAATGCCCACTCTAGCTCTGGGTAGCTTCAGGTAAGAACGAAGGACTCTTCCTGTAGGTAGCCTGTTTGCAGTGGCCATTGAGAGGTGTCTCCTGAAGCCTGCCCTGTAATCACCGCGGTGCCGATTGCTGGGTTAGAGTGCTTAAAGCTTCAAAGAATTGTAGACCTTTTCTCCTTATTCTGTCTCCTGCAACAGATTGCATCCTTTGCTTCCCACAGGTCACTGCTGAAAGAGAGAAGTTCCAGCAGGAAGAAGAAGCAGCCAAAACAAAAGCTGAGGTGGTCCCACCACAGAAGGAGGTCCAGGCTCCTAAAACTTACCGGCAGGGGATTGGAAAATACATCAACATGGCTGCAGCGTGAGTTCCCTGCCCATCTGATCTTGGCTGAGTGTTTTAGGTTCCTTTCCTGCTGGATGCTGACTATGTCCAGGGCCATTGCTCAGATGTTTGGTTTGTGCCAGCAAAGACATCTTCATATAGTCCTAACAGTCAAGAGTTTCCTCTCCTGTTGTTTTTCAAGATTACAAGTTAACTGAGCATTTCTTTTAGCACTTGAACGTGACCAAGTTGTTCTTTAGCAAGTTGGTCTTTAACAGCATGTACTGACTTCAGAACTGTAGATATATTTCCAGAACTCAGAAGTCCTTGAGGAACTGTACAGTGTCACTTCCCACACTATCTGTTATCCTCTTCCTTTTCTGAAGGCCATGGTCCCACAGATGTTTTTCATTTAACAACTTCTCCCCTGCACAAAGTAGTTTCCCTAAGCCCCCATCAGTCTGCTGATCTGGTTCCCTGTTCAGCCACACAAACAACTGAACTGGCTGGAAAGGGGAGCAGGTTCCCAGGCCTGCTGTGGGAGCACAGGGTGTCTGGTGAGTAGCTCCTGGTACCCGGCTGGTTGGACAGGCTTATCCTAAAGCACCCTCTCCCAGACACCCTTTATACTCCTGTCAGGATTGGCAGCACTGTTTTCTTTCCTAAGGACACTACAGAATCCTGGCTGAGCAGCAGCTTAGCATGTGTTTGGGAAAAATTAAAATAAATGCCTTCCACTTGATTTTTAGCAGACTTCTCTAAAAGCATTTGTGAAAGTGTTGTTGTCTGTCTGCATAAAGGCCTATATTTATGCATACACAGATCTGGGCAGCTATTTAATCAGCTTGTGTGTGCCTCTGTGACTTACAGGCATTTGCATAACTGTGAGAACAGAAATATGTTAGCCCAGGTGGGTCAGTTTGGTGTGTCAGTAAAATGTTTCAGTTACGAAATACTGCTTGTCCCTTAAAATATGTTCAGCTTAAAACTGCTGCCATGTTGCACTGTATTTACAGAGGAAACACTGGCCGAGCTTGTGGCTCTGTGGAAAGGACCAAGCAGTATAGAAAGGACCTTCAGTCCTTGCAGCCTGCCTTGACACTGGGAGTTTGTCCACACAGCCCTTTGGCAGGTTCAGGGTTCTCTGTTCTCCCTGTCATCTACTGATACCTGACAATAAAACCAGAGCACGTGAGCTGGCTGCATAATGTTTCTCTGGGGTTGCAAACTCTGCTCAAACAGCAGCAGCAGCTGCAACAGGCTGGGCTTGAGAAACAGGAAAGAATCTGAGAAGCTCGCCCAGCTGCTTTATACCTAATTCCTCATGAATCCATTCGCTGCCACAAGTGCAGGTGAGAAGGTGTAGAAGGAACTCATGGCTCATGTTTTCATCATGACCATGATAAAAAAGTACAGCTTGTAAATCTTCAGCTCCAGCCTGGAGAACTTAATGTGCTTTGAACACATTCCTGGAAGTGTTCAAAGCCTGACCCAAACCATGCCCACAGACTCACACACTCTTTCTAGCCTTGCCAGGGGCCCCCATGTCCAACCCCCTGCAGTCCCCGTGCTGGCACAGAGCTTGCACTGCTCTCTGCTCGACCAGGGATGGGCCAGTTCTGGTACAGCTGTTGTTGGGGAGAACAGGCATCCAGCTGCCCTGGTCCTGCTGAAGAGTAAATAGTCCCTGAGAGTTGTTTTCGTTTTGGCTCCAGGAAGCGCAGCGCAGAGGAGGACGGGCCCTCGACCAGCACAGCTGCGAAGAAAGAGAAAAAGAGCTCAGGCTTTGGGGACTTCAGCTCCTGGTAGCAGCACGGGGAGCCCAGCACTGGGGCAGCACAGCAACAACAGAAAAGGCGCCTCCCACGTGTCCCCAGAGAGCCTGAAAGACAGTCTGTCCTGGGGAGGGAAGGCACTGGCCTGCCCTTCCCCTGGGAAAGAGAACTGCTGCTTTGTTGAGGCCGGTTAATGTGGCTTTGTTTTCTAGAGAGCTCGTCCCCCCACGCTGCATCTTCCTCGAAGGCAGTTGTGGTGTTGTTTTGCGAAGCAGGGGCAGGCAGCCCAGCTCCCCAGGGCTCAGCTGGAGCCTTTCTCTGCATGGCTGGCAGCGGCCCAGGCAGAGCCCAGCCCCACAGGACGCTGCAGGGAGCAGGACGGGGGTGAAAGAGCTCCTTTCACAGGTAAAGGTCCCCAGACCGCCCCGTGTGCCAAGCGAAGGAATGAGTGAATGTGCTGGGAAGTGCCTGTGCTGCTGCAGGGCTCTGTGCAGGGGCCCCAGCCTGTCCTGCCCTTCCCTTCCAGCTGCCTCTTGCTGCTTCTCAACAAGGACCAATTTTGTCTCTTGCTCTTTGTGGGCCTGCTGGGATGGTGCCGTTGGTCTCCGAAAGGCCTCGCTCGCTCCACAACAAGCCCTCTCTGAACCTGTTAAAGTGTCAACAGCCTGGGGGAAGCTGCAAATGTAGATGGGGATCCAGGGGTAGCTGCACCACTTGTTGCTCCCAGTGGCTGCCCTTCCCTGAGCCACTGGACAGCCAGAGGGGCCAGGATGCACCAGCTGACACCTGCCCTCAGGTCCCAGAAACTGCAGCCTGGAGCAACTGAGCAGGAACAGAAAGAACCGTCCCTAAGGCTGCTCCTTGCAGGGGAACACAGCCCGTGTCTGCCCTGACATCAGGCTTCCCATCACTAGGAAAAACCATATAATAGAGCTGGCAGGCATCTCGGATATTTCCATTGCATGCCCACAAATTATTAGGAATCTTAATAAAGCCTTATGGAGTAAAGGGATATCAGCCTGTGAAGTTTTAGTCCCAAAACATCTGTGTGTTCCCTTCGCTTAGACATTGCAGGCTCTGTCCTGAATGTTACTTTGGAGTTCATCTTAGGTGTTTTCAGGTGAGAGAAATGCCCTTCCTACCTCCTGTGTGGCTGAGGAGAAAGTTTTGTAATCCCCTTTGGAACAATACATTTGTATCGGTGGTTTCATGTTTTAAGAGAAGACTCCACTTATATGAAATTGCTGTAGAAACTTTTGGTAAAATATTTTGCATTAAATGCTTTTATTTTCTTTTGAGTGCTTGCCTTCAACTGTTCAACTATCATTTCCAAGACCATGGCATTGCAAAGTTGATTGTTGTACAAGGAAATGATTCATTCGTGCTTTTTAAGATGCTCGTAAGGAACTGGGATCTCTGCGGATATGATTACATCTTTGTTAAATCATAGGAAGTTCAAACTAGTTTGAAAGAATAATAGGGGGGGTTGTTTTGCAACATTTTTGAGCGACTAAGTTTGAAATAACATGTTTGATTACTGGAACAGGGGGTATGATGGTACTTTCCTAAAGCTGAGTTTATTCTGTCCTATTGGAACCTCTTGTTTCTACTGGGCTTGCCTTTTCATGATAAATTGTTATTGATTCCTTCTACCTAACTTGTACTTCAGCACATTTTTGAGTCATCAAGTTCACAGTATTGCTAGAGCTGGAATAGTTTTTTTGAATCCATAAGGGTAAAATGCTTTTTTTTGTACTAGATTAAAATGAAGATTATTATGAAGGAAAGGAGCTTTTGATTACAAGGAAGGCAGCAGAGGTATGGCAAGGATTCCCATTTCAGCAAGTCCTTGCTGCAGATTGATCCAAGGTGGCAGATGCCCATACCAGGAGCAGAAGTTCAGCAAAGCAGTGAAGGGCTCAAGTGCACCAGGTCATGGCCAAGCCCTCGGAAGGGAGAGGAAGGCTGAGCGTGCTGGAGCAGGCGGGTGCCGGAGGGGCCGTGCCACTGGCTCCAGTGCAGCCAGATGGGCACAGCCTCTGGGGGTGCAGAGGGCTCTTGCAGCCCCCCCAGGCACAGGTGACCCCAGCATGGGCTTTGTGAGTCCCCTTGGCTCTTGATGGAGTCGCAGCATGGCCGTGGCCACCCTGCAGCCAGCGGGAGCAGCTGGCAGATAAGCCCCACACTCAGACGCTGGGTTGGAAGTATCGACTGTTTCTGGGATCCTCCTGCAGCCCCTCACCAGCAATGTTTGGAAGGAACAGGATGTCGGAAACCTGGCACAGGAAGCAGCTTTTAAAAACAAGAGAGGGGATTTGCCAAACACCCCCCAGGTTCACACTGTTTGCTTTGGAGAAGGCAAACAAACTCAATCAGACAGGAAGGAGGCGGGCAGCGCCTGCCCCGGCCGGCAGCACTTACACCGCACGGTGAGGCAGGGAGTTCTCACTTCCTCTCTTTGGAAAGCATGTTTGTTATCACAGCCCTGGTGCAGGATTTGACCACCCTGTGCTGTGACTGTGGGGAAGGGGCCAGAGCCAAGGCTGTGCTCAGAGCTCAGGGAGCACAGCCCCCCTTGCTCTGGGACATAGGTGGATCCATGGAAACGACATCCAACCCCTCAGCTCAGACCTGGGTATCCCATCTCTGCCACCCACAGGGACCAAGATCCCCGCTTCAGTGCAAGGCTGGGACCAGGCTGCAGAGCTGCCATCACTCCCTCCTGCTCTGCCACACAGCCACCAGTGTCCACCTGCCCATCCCACACAGTGCTTTAGCTCACTGACCTGACACAAACAGCCAGCAGTGGGTTTGCTTCTTGGGCCTTAAACCCTGCAGCAGAAAACTCAAAAAACCAAAGGGAGCTCAATGGGTGGATAAGTGAAGGGAGGGGAGGGGGAGGGAAGGTGAGGGGGAAGAGCTCCCAGTTGTTTCAGCCTGTTCACCTCCCTGCTCCCACAGCCCCCACCTCCCACACGTCCTCTGGGGAGCCCAGGTGGGGTTTGGGAGATTCCAGCTGTGGCTGCTGGTGCCCAGCAAGCAGCACTTGTGGCCATGCTGCTCTGTGGCCAACCACAGTGTGTGTCCCACGCTGGTGGAGCTGATGGGCACAGCATGGCTGTTCACAGCCGAGAGCGTGCGTGGAAATGTGTGCAGGGATTTTTAAACAAAACATGTTGTGACCATGGGCCAGGGCACCCCATGGCCCCGTGAGGGACATACCCACTGAAGAGACATACTGCTGTTTGGGACAAAGCTGGGGCCGTGGGGGGAGAGCTGAGCCCAGGAGACACTGTGCAGTGAAGCCACACTGACACTGTTCCGCTGCAAACCTGAACCCCACTGAACTCAGCCCTGGGGCACAGGCCTGGTGGGCTCTGCAGAGCGGGGGCTGCACACGGGGCCTCGCTGGGACCGGCACTGACTCACCCTCCGCTGAGCTCAGTGACTTCATCTGCTGGAAATAGCAACCAAGGAGGAATCATCTCTGTCACTGCCATACCCGTGCACACACACAGGCACTGGCTGCTGCCTGCACTGCTGCCTGCACCCAGCCCCAGCTCCAGGGCAGGAGCAGCCCCTCCAGTCAGCCCCATGCTGGAGCTGCTCCACACAGGACAGCACAGGACAGGATGGTGCCCGTGGCTGCACAGGCTGATGGCACTCGACCGCTGCCAGCCCTGTGAGGGTTGGAGCAGGAAGCTGCTGCAGGAGTTGGTGAACTCAAGGGGTCTCAAGGCCAGAGAGCTCATGGCTGTATCCATGCCCCTGCTCATACAGCACAGACAGTGCAATTTGCACTCAGCAAGTTGCACTTAGCTCCAGAAAAGGCACCTGGCTCCCTGCAATGGCTTCCACAAGAAAGGGCTCCTGCAGCTCCCCTGGGAGCGAAGCAAAGCCGTGGCAGCAGCTGGCAGTGGCTGTCTCAGATAACAGGACCACTGCCCAGGGCTCTTGCTCTTATCACTGGTGAGAAGAGTCTTCCTGGGGTTTGTACTGAGCCAGCACACAGCAACCCCCAGACAGCCCAACTATGGCTCTGCCACAAGGATCAGAGTTGTTGGAGCTCCCATGGGGGCACCCTGTGAGTCTCCACCCTGAGCTTTCCCAAGGGAACAGTGCCAGGATGGGGCTTGTGGTGCTGGAGCCAGGGTGGAGGGCTGGTGTGGGCACAAGGCAGTCGCTGTTTAAAGGTCAGGAGGGCTGAGGCAAGCAAGCTCGGTGCTCACTGTCACTTGTCCTTCATGTGCCTATTTGTTCAGGTTTGCTTTTGTGAAAAGGAAAGAAAACCAACCCCCTCTCATAGACCCCTCTGTTCCCTCCACTGGGGCTCATCCCATGTCCCTGGCCCAGGGAGTTGCATGTCTGGGGGTTTTCTTCTGTGCTGGTTCTTTGGTACTTTCTAGAGCTGGGGAGCGTGCAGAGGCATCAACCTCATAACCCCGCTGGCCCTGCACTGGCTTCCCAGCCCCTCTGCTGTTTGTGATGCCATGGAGAGGCCAAATCTTCCCTTTTACACAGAAGAAAGGCTCATCAGCAATCGCAGCAGGCTGGGTTTGACAGCTCGTAACTTTATGGCTTTTAAAAAATAACCACAGCCTGTTTTAAACACTGGTCAAGGTCTCCTCTGCCCTTCCCCCTGAAAAGCTTTCCCAGCTCTCACTTTTCTGATATTAGATACTTTCTCTAATCTTTGGCCTTCATTTATTAATGGCTAATTATATCTATTTGCTTTAGTGCCAACATTGTCCTCTAGCTTGAATAGCTTTCTTGCCTCCCTAATGCTTGCTTCCTGGCACTATTTATAGGCAGCAATTGTATCCCCCCGCAGCCTCTGTTGTGCTTGGCTACACAGGCTCTATGCCTTCAGCCTCCTCAAAGGGCCCCATTGCCCTCCTGCCTCCATCCCTGTCCCCTCCTCGACTGGATGGTGTCAGACAGGTGCCCAGCCTGTCCCTGGCTCTGGCAGAAACCACTTAGATGTCAGCACTGGCCGTGACGCTTTGGGGCAGGAGCTGGGGCAGAGCCTTGTGCCTTCAGGGAGTCCTGTCAGTTATTTTTTTAGACAGCCCCATGGGTTTATTTTTTTAGGCAAATGCAGGGATCACTCCAGGGTCCTGTTTGCCTTCCCTGTCCCTCCTATCCCATTTCTCTCAAGGGAGAGTGAGTGCCCACCAAGGCAGCGCAGGGAGTTGTGTGATTCCTGTCTGCGCTTTCATCCTGGATGAAAGGGATGCTAGAAAACATTTGTTTTTATGATAAAAACAATTGACCCGGGAGGAATCTGCCTCACCAGGATGGCCTGCAGCAAATTGTGGAGACGAGGCACAACATGCAGCAAACACCAAGTGCTTCCAAGCCTCGGAGCAGCTGCAGAGCAAATCCCTCTCCATGTGGAAGGAAACCCACACTGGGCTTCCACGGCTGCTCCTGAGCCCAGACAACACAGCCAGTGATGGTTTTAGTGGATTTTGTTGGGAAAGGGAAGACCTGCAGAGGACATTGTTTATTTTTTTTTTAATGAATGCCCGGATTTTTTTATTGCAGACATCTTCACCATAGATCTCAACTGAGCTTTTAATAGATGGGTTCCTCGCCAGCGGCAATCGCAAATTGATTGCAGCAGAAATGGCAAGTGAAGACAAATATAGTGCAGGGCTGCCTGCAGGGAGAGCGCGCGGAGAAACTTCGGATGCTATTTTTGGTGTTTTGTCTCCACTGCTTACAGTATTTCTAATCTTTGTTTCTCCTTAAAAACATGTTTGGGGGTGGGATGTTTTTGGGGTTTTTTTCCTTGTGTTAAAAAAAGTTCCATTCTCTGGAGGAAAAAGTTGGGTGGCCATGTCCGTGCCCAGCTCTGCAGAGCTGGTGGGTGCCATGGCCCTGTTTGGTGTGGCAGGAGGGTGAAGGTACACTGGTGATGCTGCCTCCATCCCCTCCACTGTGACCAGAACCAGGTCCATCTGTCCCAGGCGCTGCACAGAGACGGGGAGGGGAGTGCCAGGGGTCACTCAGGGTACTTGGCAGAGTAGGAAAACACTTCAAGTTATTGCTGGGCTTGGGGAGCCAGAGCTGCGTGACACTGGAGTGATGTTAAGGGCTTTATGGCCCTGATGTCCTAAACTTCTCAGGCCCAGAGGATGATCGGGATGGTGCAGACCGAGGCAGGTTCACAGGACAGCAAGCCTCTGGTGCAGAGGTGTCTCTCTGATGCTCGTGGGTGTGAGAGACAAGGCTGTGGTCAGAAACAAAGGAGCAGAAATGCTAATAAAAAATCTGTGTTTAAGTACAGAATAGTGAAATAAAAGCGGATCATGGCAGGGCTGGCCGTGACTGCAGGAGCCTTGGGAGCCTTGGTCCTGCACAGCCAGTGTCTACCTGGTAGTCTGGGATGTTTGCAGCAGCAGTTCAGGGGAGACTATCACCTCGCTGAGGACCTGACAGCATTTCAGACCATGGGATAGGGTTTGTGTTGTCTATGTGAGGAGGCTTCCTGGTATGAGAACTCCCAGATGTTTTTCTTCTGTTTGTGCAGACCATCTTCTGCCTTGATTCGATCAAGCTACAATCTGGCATTCACTAAAAAATCCCTCTATTTCCCATGTTTGTGCTTAAATAACATAAAAAGCCCCTCTCCACCAGCATGCTGGAT